AACCAATTTTCGACAGCTACCTGTCAAATTAGATCTGTGTAATTTTTTTTTTTTTTTTTTTTTTTTTTTTTTTTTTTTTTTTTATTTTCGACACTTAGGTGTCGAAAATTGTATCAAAATTCGACACTTAGGTGTCGAAACTTAATAAAGTATGAATTGTTATGTTTTCGACACATACATGTCGAAAAAAAAGGGTATTTTCGACCTGTATGTGTCGAAAATACATGGCGAGTTTTAAAAAAAAAAAAAATTTCAAAATCGATGTTTTAGCTCAAAAAAAAAAAAATGAATACATACTTGAATGAGTTCTCCTTGCTCGTAAACTACTATTCTATTGTCATTTGACGCCATTTTGCAAGTTGTGTAAGGTTTTGATTTCTTTTGTTTTGAGGTTTTTTAGGAGGGTTTTTGGGGAAGGAGAAGAAGGAAGTGGAGGAGATGAGGGGTTTGTGAGTGAGGAGGGAAATGTTTTTTTTAGGTTTTTGATTATTTGGTATTTAAGAAAGAAAAATAGTATTTGTAATATTTTTTGGGTTTTAATTTTCATTAAGGGCATTAAAGTAATTTACAATTAATTATTTAATTTTTAATTTTTTGGTATTCAAGTAAGCAAAAGTTAGTATTTGAAATAGTGATCCCTATATATATATATATATATATATATATATATATATATATATATATATATATATATATATATATAAATCAATTATTATCCATTAATTTAGCTTCATAATTTAGAAATCATATCACTAGTTAGTCATGTACCAATGAAAATTTGTGAAAGCCTTGATCAAAACAGTAGAGAACAATAATTGTTTTTAAATTAATATGTATATATATAAATGAATAAGTGGAGAAATATATTTTGTTTCACAAAATATTAAATACTTATTATTCATCGTACAGAGTGTAATAATTATAGGACAATTATCGAGAAAGACCCAAGGTCAAGAAGAACCACATTTAAATATTTAAAAATTCGATGAAGACCAAAAGAATAATTGGTCAAACATCCATCCCCATGCGTTTTAGTCACCTTTCAAATTAAACTTTTCTACTTCCAAATTCCAAATAAATCGAACTTTTTGTTATTTAATGCATGTAAAAAGAAAAAGTCATTCTCATATATAGTCACACACGATTTTTATGATTTTATGACTATTCATTTCTAATTTCTAGAATCTTTTTTTTTTATTTTATTTTAATTATTATTTTATATTATAATAATAATAATAATAATAACAACAATAATAATCATTATTATGATTATTGTTATTATTATCTAAAATCGTTAAACTCTTACCAATTGCTAGGGCAGACAAGCTACTTATTTGACTCAAAATTATCGGACCTCATTATTATAGACTCAAGTTTGACTCATGTATTTTATAGGTTTCGAGTTTATATTGGACTTTTATTGAGCAATATATAATTTATATACTTTACAACTTTGCAGCTAGACGTGATTAAAAAAATCCTTTGTAGCCTAAAAACAAAATCTAAAATGTTCACGAAGAACAAAATAAAATAATAACTATAGTCTCAAGGAAAGATGAAAACCATAGTCTTTTCCTTAAAACAAATGAAGTTTAATTTTGTAAATGTTTAATCACTAAGTAATTAATTTTTTTTTTTTAGTAATTCAAGTCATTATAAGGGGAAGTAGGGGAGGGGGACTCGAACCCTAGACCTTTTTACCCTATTGGTAAGGCTAGGTACCAACTCTCCTAATGAGGGTTGGTCACTAAGTAATTAATTATACCACAAAAAATGCATCATAGTCCAAAGTGAAAGAAGTAAAAGAAAATTAATATCTCCTATTATTGGAAACAATTTATTTTCTCAAATCTCAGTGATAATTTCAGTAATTAGGTTTGAGTGGGATATCTTTCACTTGATTCCCATTTGAGTATTATCACCGTCACCACTTAATTCCTTTTTATTTTTAATTTTGAATTTCTTTTTATTATTATATTTATTTTTATTTTTATTTTTATCATTTTACTAAATAAAATGATCTATTACGGCTGTAACTTGTGCGTTAAGCAATATCATTAAAATAATAAATATATTATATATTTAATTATTAATTTAATCGCGCAAACGTTATCCGTTTTGAGCTATAGCAGCTCAAACTCAGCTCACAAATTAATCAGATTGAAGAAAATAACTCAAACTCAGTCCGACTTACAGAAAATCAGTTTCGACTCAAATAAAATTAGGTTGAGTCATCGGGCTTCGATTAAGCCCGGCTCAATTACCGGTGCTATCAATTGCCATCCCTATTTGAATGCTACTTTTTTATTTTATAATAATAATTAAATGAAAGAAAGGTAGAAGAGAAAAAGGTAGAAAGAGAAGGAAATAGAAAAAGACTAGATAGTCAAGTCAAAAGACAAATCCATCCACATCTATTCCAATTTCCACTACATTTCAATTTTCACAATAAATAAATCATAAAATACATACATACATACACATTGACCTCTACACACATAAATACACACACAATAAAACACACATATGCACACACATATATATATATATATATATATATATGAGATGCATATACAGATGAGCACATAATAGAAAAATTGGAATTCCAAAGAGAAGAAGGTGGCTGACAACGTTTTCTCCTCCAACCCCCCAAACCCTCTCTCTCTCTCTCTCTCTCTCTCTCTCTCTCTCTCTCTCCTCTCTTTCTCTCTCCTCAAAACACGTTAGCGGTTTTCTTGTTGTCAACTTTCGAATAATAATACTTTCGAGTATTATTATTTCAGAAATCTAAAATTCGTAAAAAAATCAATTTTTTAAAAACCTCCCAATAGTTAAAAACCTTCTCCCCTTTTCTTCTTGTTCCTTTTGAGAAAAGGGGAAATAAAAATAAAATAAAATAAAATAAAATAAAAAAAAGCAAAAAGAAACATGCGGGCATCTCTGGATTTTTCATTATTCCATGCATAGCCGCCGCCGTGAGATTTTCCGGCGGCGGTGGCGGTGGAGGAACAATTTTTTTTTTAATTTTTAATTTTTAATTTCTGCAAATTTTTTTTTTGAGTGAATTGAAGTGATGGGTTCGGGCCCGATTGTGTCCTCCGGCGGCGGTGGAGGGTGGTCCAGGTGGTTTCACGACAGTAACGGCGGCGGCAAGAGTAGCAACGGCGGCGCTGCTAGGAACGGGAATCATAATAATAATAATAATAACAACGAGGCCTGTGTTTTTTCGTCAACCCTTGCGTATTTCTTGTTGTCGTTAGCCGTTTTGGGTTCGATCGGGATATTGTACGCCAGGTTCATGATCACCGCTAACGTGCGCACGGGGATCACGGCGGTGGGATGTCAACAAGACAATGAGGGCTCGTGGGCAATTGGCATTTTCTACGGCGACTCCCCCTTTTCTCTCAAACCCATTGAAGATGTAAGGTTTTATTTTTTTATTTTTTTTAATTAAATTAATTTTTTTGCATGTTGGTTAAAATTCCAATTGAATCATGACAATATTAATTATTAGTTTTTTTTTTTTTTTTTTGAATTCGTGAAGTTTTTCTGGGTTTCTGAAATTTTTTACTTTTAATTTTTGATGCCCTTTTGTGTGTTTATGATTCATGAGTCTTTTTCCGATTTTTCGAACTATTGGGTTTTCCTGATTTTGATTTATGTTTCTGAAATATGGGTTTGTAGATTTGTTACTTATTAAGACAGTGAATTGTTTGACAGATAAATGTATGGAAGAACAAGAGTGCAGCATGGCCCGTAGCCAATCCGATTATCACTTGCGCCTCACTTTCCGATGCTGGATCCCCGAGTAATTTTGTCGCCGACCCTTTTCTTTATGTTCAGGTAATTTTATCTATCTTCTTTCAATTTAGTTGATATATAAATTTATATGTTATTTCGAGTATGGATTATGTAATCGGATATCTGTTGCGCGTTTTCGCTATTAAATCGTGCCTGCTTGCTTTATAGACGCGTGTCGAAACAGTATCGGTTAGTTATATTCGTAGCTACCGTTTAATTTTCTGGCCTTGTAATTTTCCATCAATGGATATACCACTTCTAAATTTGGAGTAGACTAAGTCGACGGTGTTTGTAAATGACGGGATTCGTTTTTTCTAGTATTTGCGTTGCTATTTGTATTATATTATGTGCATACGTGGGGATGGAATTAAAGCAACTAGGTTGAGTTTTCAGCTTCTGATACAAGAGTCTTTATATATATAATTCTTTAGGTTCTGAATATGCTTTCTTTCTTTTTTTACTGAGGAAATAGTGAAGGCGGCAGCATATGCTTTAAAAATGCAAGATACAAATCATCGTTAGTAAATTAAGAATGGGAAAAGAAACGTAGAATCTAATTGCCCCTGAGGGGAAAGAATATATTCCCTTTTCCCTTTTTTTCTGTTTGAATTAAACGGTGCTTATGTGGAATGAGCTGGAAATTTGTCGTCAAGAATTAAAAAAACATACTGCTGGAAATTGATTATCGTGGTGAGGTGTATGGAGATTCTCACAGATAAGGGAAGTGTGTGTGTGTGTGTTTGTGTGTGTCCACCCCGATAGAATCAGAATACTTTTATAGGAAATTAATTATCTTTCTTTCGAATGCGCAAAAGGTTGTTTTGAATGGAAAGTCGTGTTTAGTCGATGTTATGTCTGGAGTTGTGTTGTATTTGTCTATGTTATTCTCATGAAATGGTCTTTCTTAGTCGGCTAACTATTTTAATTGTAATGAAAATAGAGTAGATCATTGGGTTGTGGGGATTGCCGTAGTAATTACGACCCGACACATTTACCAAGTTAGCTCTTAATACAGCATCATTCAAATCATGTTTATTTCGTAGTAATTGCTGTACCTCACACGTCACATTAATTGGTTAACCAACATTATTATCTCGCCTTCAAATACGAGTGCGTTATAAATATTCGACAATATTCCCAAGACTTATTTTTCAAGTATGAAAGCCCCGGAACCAGAAGTACTAGGATTAATTCTCATAATAATAATAAATCGCATATCTTTTCTGTATCTAATTGGCCAAATGCAAAATTCTGATACCTTTCGTTTCTGTACATTACTTTCACTGACATTAGTGTTTACCTACATATCTTAATTTCGTTAGTAAGCTCGAAAACAATGAATTTGCAGTTTCTGTTGGAAATTTCAGATATAATATAAGCCTGACGTTTCGTTACATGTCTCAGGGTGACATCCTGTACGTTTTCTACGAAACGAAAAACTCAATTACAATGCAAGGAGACATTGGAGTTTCAAGAAGTTTAGACAAGGGCGCCACCTGGCAGCAACTCGGTATCGCCCTCGACGAAGATTGGCATCTCTCCTACCCGTACGTCTTCGAGTACAACGGAAATGTAAGAGAAGTTCAACTTTCTGTTCCCAGTCCAATATCCTTTCTTGATTTTGAATTACTCAAATTTAACGTATTTAATATATATTTTTTAATTGTATATGACAGATATATATGATGCCCGAGGGCAGCACAAAAGGGGACCTTCGCCTATATCGATCAACCGACTTCCCATTAAAATGGACACTGGAAAAAGTAATCATGAAAAAGCCGTTAGTCGATTCCTTTATGATTCCTCACAAAGGAAAATTCTATCTTTTCGGCTCTGATCACAGCGGATTTGGCACCAAGAAAAACGGACACCTGTCAATATGGCACAGTGTATCACCTCTCGGTCCATGGAAACCCCACAAGAAGAACCCCGTACACAACACACACAAGAGCGTGGGGGCTCGAAACGGAGGTAGACCCTTCGTACACAACGGTAATCTCTACCGTATCGGCCAAGACTGCGGCGATACATACGGGCGTAGAATACGCGTATTCAAGATATCAGTTTTAACGACCGAAGATTTTGAAGAAATTGAGGTTCCGTCCAACATCGAGGAATCGTTGAAGGGAAGAAACGCTTGGAACGGGGCCCGCCACCACCACCTCGACGTGCAGCGGCTCAGCTCCGGCGAGTGGGTGGCGGTGATCGACGGCGACCGGGTCCCGTCTGGGGATTCTGTCCGCCGCTCCGTTTTTGGATTCGGTGCGGTTATTGCGGTTGGTGCTTTGGTTGTACTTGTTGGCATGGTGGTCGGTGCGGTGAAGTGTTTGGTGCCGTTGAGTTGGTGCCCTCATAGTATGGGGAAGAGGAGCGACTCTTTCTTGGCTTGGGAGAGGCCGAGTTTGTTGTCTTCGAAGATTCGGCTTTTATGTAGTCGTTTGAATCGTGCGAGCTCGATTGTCCATGCGAGGGTGCGGCCGAACACTTGCACGGGTGTTCTTTTCCTTGTTTTGGCGGTCGTGGCAGCGGCAGCACTAACGTGCACCGGGGTGAAGTATCTGTACGGCAGGAGCGGTGCGGAGGAGCCCTACCCGTTGGACGGAAGCTACTCGCAATTCACAATGTTGACGATGACTTTCGACGCTCGTTTGTGGAACTTGAAGATGTACGTGAAACACTACTCGAGGTGTGCGTCTGTGCGCGAGATAGTGGTCGTGTGGAACAAAGGCACGCCTCCACTGCAGAGCGATTTCGACTCTGCAGTGCCGGTGAGGATCCGGGTGGAGGAGAAGAACTCGTTGAACAACCGGTTCAAAGCGGACCCCGCCATAAAGACGCGGGGGGTCCTCGAGCTCGACGATGACATCATGATGACGTGCGATGATGTCGAACGGGGATTTAGGGTTTGGCGGGAGCGGCCGGACCGGATCGTTGGGTTTTACCCCCGTTTTGTTGGCGGCGGGGGGCGGTTGAGGTACAGGGGGGAGAAGTATGCGCGGGGGCATAATGGGTATAATATGATTTTAACGGGGGCGGCTTTTATTGATGGTGGTGCCGCCTTCGAGCGGTATTGGAGCGAGGAAGCTAGGGCCGGTAGGGCGTTGGTGGATGGGTTTTTTAATTGTGAGGATGTGTTGATGAATTACTTGTATGCGAATGGGAGTTCTTCGAGCGTGGTGGAGTACGTGAGACCGACGTGGGCGGTCGACACTTCGAAATTCTCGGGGGTTGCGATAAGTAGGAATACGCAGGCGCATTACGGTGTGAGGAGCAATTGCTTGAAGAAATTCTCAGATATGTATGGGAGTTTAGGTGATAGGAAGTTGGAGTTTAATAGAAGGAAAGATGGGTGGGATGTATAATATTTTGTTGTCTTGCTTAGAAAATATTTGGTTTGCATTTTAATGGGAAAAAAGAAATAGTGAATATGGTTTTGTTGACTTGTTATCTGTAGTGTAATTTTGTTGTGTATGTAGTTTGGAGATTGTTAAGGTTGTTTGTTGTGTGGCTTCATGTTTGCATATTCACAAACCAAAAACGAAACCGAAAATCGAAAACCGAAAACCGAAACCGAAACGGAAAACAGAAAAATGAAAAAAATTGTAGTAGTGGAGAGCTTGTAATGAAAAGTAGTATAAGACAATAAACAGGCTGTAAATATAATATTGAAGACGATATATATGGGCAGGGCTATTTGAATTATTGAAAAGGGTTGGCATAACACTTTGGATTTTTGCTTCTTGTGTTCATCGACCTGCCCCTATGGCCTAACTTCTTATATACCTTCTAATTTATATATATTTCTTACATTTATTAGGAAAAACATTCTATTGAAGTCAAATCACATGTATATCTATTATACGAGTTTTTAGTTGATGAAAATGGTCTGAGTTTTAGATAGGGGTTGGAAATATGAGTGTCATTTTTTTGATTTTCAGCCGATTCTTATTTGAAATTTTTCGATTTTGGAACAACAATTTTCATTTTTCATTTTGATTTTTCTGATTTTTTTTGGGTTAGAATTGGTCACCATAAATGAGATACCGACTTCCAACCTGATTTTAACGGAACGCGGACATGGGAAACAGGGAAACGGACACGGAGAAACTCTGTTTTTCAAAAAAATTGGATACGGGAATGTGGGGAAAAGCGTAAATAATAAAAATATAGGGGTGTATTCATAATTTCTATAAAATATTGTAATGTTTAATATCATTCCACAAATTACATATAATGTATTTTTTATGGAATTAACATCTACAAAAATATTAAAACACCACTAGAAGTGAAAATGAGACATAATATTTAAGATTTTTTTAAGCGTATGCAATTCGTAGTTTTTATTTAAAATGAAATTTGGATTTATTTTGTGTGGAAACGCGTTTCCAAATTTTCATTATTATCAGAAACGTCCCCGAAATGTTTAAATATTTATGGAAACGTTTCCGACAAGTGTCATGGAGTTTCAGTTTCCGAAACATTTTTGAAACGTGGAAACGCGAGTGGGTTGAAGTTTCCGTGCATCATAGAAATATACATTTATAATATAAAAGTGATTATATATTTTACATTTTAGGTTACTAAAAATTCGAAATTTTTCGAATTCTACCACAATATGAAATTTTTCGACTTTGGAATAAGGTTTCTCATGTCGTGGAATTTCGATTCCGAAAGGTCCAATTGCCCAAAGACCTATATTGAACTAAAAGCTCTACACAAAGTCCAAGAGCAACCCAGGCCCAAGGTCGTCTCGTCCACTACAACCGCTAAAACCTACCAAATAATTCAACATAAGACATGTGTAAGCAGCGGATGTAACTACATTCAGACCAATGTCACAAACAGGGAAATAAAGCATGCACCGTGATGTGGACTGAAAAGAGGCCCACCAACCTACAACAAGCTCGCAAGGGGAAGTTAAAGAGCAACCACAAAGCGATCTAGATCGTAGAGAGAGGAAGCAAATCTTATTAGAAAGGTAAAATAATCTCGCAACAAGTCACATTACCTTGCACGTGCATCGTAGCTTGATAAGACAAGTGATCCCACCAGATCCATCACCATGACAGATATAAATACAAACGTAGAACAGAAAGAGATGCATGTTCCTTCTCTTCATATATTACATTCAATATACCATTTTTTTTACCTTTCTATGATATATACTGTTTTCCACTTTACACGACTGACTTGAACATCAGAGTGATAATGTTAGTAAAACTTCTCGTGTCACTCCTCTTTTGCAGCTCTCCTAAGGTAGTTGAACTTTTTCTCAGTCGCGCTTTCTTGCGTCTTGGGCGTCTCTTTGTCCCCAAAGCCCATTTCATTTTATTATTATTGTTAGGGCTATTTAGATTTCACCAAGTATCAATCGGGGTGTAACGAAAATTATTTATTATCTTTTGAGAGTCCAATTAAGTTTTTTCGGGGTTTAAATTGTCAAAATAATACATTTGGAAGGTGCAAAGTGTGAATTAAGCCAATTCAAATTAACCCAAAGAGAAATTCATAAAGCTCTCACCTTTTTCAGATATATATGCACACACAATTTCTTTCTTTTATATATATACAAAATCATATTACTATTATTCATTCAAATAAAAATTTGTGTAAGGAATCATTTGCTTTTCTGGGTGTCTCTTTTATCAGATGGGTTGTCTGAAACAGAGAAAAGAAGGAATATACACACACACACACACACACACACACACACACACACATTACATATAGTCTGATCTAAATATGTTTTCTGCTATTCAACGGTCTTCACTTCCCCCTTTCATCGGGCTCTGTGAAAAATAAAATAAAAAATTAAATCCAACCAACCCTTATTCCAAGATTTTTTTTTTTTTCAGTGAGAGAGAGAGAGAGAGAAGCTGTAAAAGGAGAAAATACAAAATACACAGTGTCGTCGATATATACAGTCAGATTTACAATAGATACAAATCTGTGTGCGTTACTTTTTTTTTTTCTATTTAATTATTTTTTTTCTGGATGTAAGAGAATTTCGGAGAAAATAATGTTGGCATTGATGGGCGAAGGAGGAGGAGGAGGATCAATTGATAAAATGGAGAAGGAATTCGATTCCAAATTGAGGATGCAGAGCAACAGTTCTTCGTCGAATGATGATAATAAAAATAATAATAATAATAATAAAAATAATAATGGATTTCCTGACAGATCTAAGAGCTTTGCTTTTAGGGCACCGCAGGAGAATTTCAGCATCGATGATTTTGAATTGGGCAAGATTTACGGCGTTGGTTCTTATTCTAAGGTCATCATCCATCAATCTTCTTACCCCTCTTTTTTTCAATTTTTTAATTTAGGTTTTCGATTTTGAATTGGGCGAGATTTTGATTTATTTAATTTAGTTATGCTTCATGTTAGAATGTGATGAATGGTGCGAATCCGCTTCGATAAATCGAACTATTATCTCGTATAGGTGTTTACTGTAACCGAATACGGTTTTGTTTCCCCGTAGTAGTTTTTACTGTTTTCGACGTCGTGAAAAGCTCGTATTTCAATTCGATTCCGTCGCTTAACAGGTTGTGAGGGCGAAGAAGAAAGACACCGGAATCGTTTATGCGATGAAAATCATGGATAAAAAGTTCATCACTAAGGAAAACAAAACGGCATACGTAAAATTGGAGCGTATAGTGTTGGACCAGTTAGACCATCCCGGTGTGGTTCGATTGTTCTTTACGTTTCAAGATTCTTTCTCACTCTGTAAGTAGTATTGCTTCTTGCATCAAACCCTATTTTCTTTCAGTTATTTCGGTTGACGTGTCGGGGGTATGATGGTAATTTGACGTTCCGATGTTCAATCATGTGTTCCGAAGATATGGCGCTTGAATCTTGTGAAGGCGGAGAACTCTTCGATCAAATAACGAGTGTAAGTCTAAAATTTTAGAAGCGTGTTTCCTTCGCTGCCGTCGTAAATACGACTTATTTAAAACATTGTTCATACCACATTATATTTTTCGATATTCTGCTATTTTATTTGGACTTCTAGTATTTACCGTTTTTGCAGTTTCTAGATTTTATCGAATCATATTCCAGTCGTAACTTGAAAAATCAAAATATAAAGTTTTAGGTATATTCCTAGTATCTTTTTTTGGTGACGTGTGTAGTTGATTTTGTGAATGCAGAAAGGCCGTTTGAATGAGGACGATGCTCGTTTCTATGCAGCTGAAGTTGTTGATGCTCTTGAATATATCCATAGCATGGGCTTGATACATCGGGATATTAAGGTATTTTTGTAACTTCGCAAATTTTTATATTATTATTATTAATTTTTTTTTTATTTGAAGTAATGCTAATAGTTTTCCGAATGGCAGCCAGAGAATCTGCTGCTTAGTGAAGATGGACATATCAAGATTGCTGATTTTGGTAGTGTTAAGCCTATGCAAGATAGTCGAATAACAGTCCTTCCGAACGCAGCATCAGGTAGGTCTTTAATAGTTGTGTTAATTACAATCACCCCCTTGAGATAAAGCTAAATTACGAAAAATATTTGTGGTTATACAAGTAGAAGGGCTTTTTTGTAATTTGGCCTTACCTTAAGGGGTTTTTTCATTACTACAGTTAAACCCCCATAAATTAATTTATAAATTAATACAGTCCGGACCAGACAAATTCTATTAATTTAGCGAAATATTAATTTAAGGATATAATTTTTAACTCGTTGTCCTCTAGTTGGGACGGTGAAAAATATCAATTAAACGAGGTTATTAATTTATTGAGGTTCTACTGTATTTTATTTTGAAGAAGGGGAGGTTCATTATTGACTCACCCTTAATATTTTCATTATGCTTCAAGGGAATTAGATATAAGCTTGCAATTGATAATAATTTACGAAGGGCTTTTTCGTTATTTACTCTTAGTTTGCAATTGATAATAATTTACGAAGGGCTTTTTCGTTATTTACTCTTAGTTTGCAATTGATAATAATTTATGTTCCTTCTTTTTAAATATATGTTCAGATGATAAGGCGTGTACCTTTGTGGGGACAGCCGCTTATGTGCCACCGGAAGTTCTAAATTCATCCCCAGCAACTTTTGGGTAATGACTGTTGTACCCTTCTCTTTGTTTTGGGGTTGACAAACTTTGTATTAGTTTCTTCCACGATAGCAATTTTTTTTAATTCATTTGAAAAACAGGAACGATCTTTGGGCGCTCGGATGCACGTTGTACCAAATGCTTTCGGGGACTTCTCCATTCAAAGATGCTAGCGAGTGGCTTATTTTCCAAAGAATTATTGCAAGAGATATTAGATTTCCGAATTACTTTTCAGCAGAAGCTCGAGATTTGATCGATAAATTATTGGTAAGTCTTGATTACCTTTAATTAAAGCTCTAATTTACTGTTTGTGTTTAAAGCTCGAATTGGTTTTGGGTTTTCATTTAACTTGCTACAAAATGTATTAATCTTCTTACCGACTTTGATTAATGTTTGATTTAGGACATTGATCCTAGTAGGAGACCAGGTGCAGGGCGCGAAGGATACGTTTCTCTCAAAAGCCACCCTTTTTTTAAGGGAATTGATTGGACGAATTTGAGGAAAGGGACCCCACCAAAACTAGCTTTAGACCCAAGAGTAAGAATTTTTTTATTTATAATAATTATTATTATTAGTATGGGTAAATAACCGCCATCCCCTGAGGTAAAGTCAAATTACGAAAAATCCCCTCATGTTTGGGTAATTACAACCACCCCTCAACTATGAATCTTTTTACAAATCCACTCTCGTGGTGTCAAATTTAGTGGAATCTTCTGGATTATGTATATATCCTCCAATTTGTACCTGTTTTACTCTATTCAAGCTCCACATTTTGAAACAAGATAGATCACAAGATGTGTCTCTTGACTTGTAAATATCAGATTGTGGTGCATTAGAAACTGTTTTGCATAAAACGAGTACAAACTAGATAACATTTCATGGAATGTAGAAGATTCTGTTGAATTTAACATAAGGATGAACGTGTAATAAAATTAATAGTTGAGGGAGGGGGTTGGTTGTAATTATCCAAACATGAAGGTTTTTTTTTCGTAATTTGACCTTATCTCAGGGGGTTGCCGTAATTTGCCTTATTGTTATTTATTCCCTTTCTTGATCTCACTTTTTATAAAGAACATTGACAAAATAAGAACTTATGCAAGATAGATAGCATGTAAATTTAATTTTTAATTTTTTCGGCCGTGTAAATGTTTGTCCCTTGGGGTATCTTGATGAACTTTTCAATGATCGACAAATAGAGAAAAGAAAGAAAAAAAAACGGGAATAGCCTGTAGAAAAATTCTATACGTTTTCAATTTCGTCTTTTACGACCATTCTCCAGGCTGAGTCAACTGGAAGTGATGACCAAGATTCGACATGGAACCCTTCGCATATTGGAGATAGTTCAGTAAAAACAAATGATACAAATGTCGGTGTAGGCAGTGCATCTCCTTCTGAAACTGGTAGCATCACTAGGCTCGCGTCAATCGATTCGTTTGATTCAAAATGGTAAGTGCTTTTTACAACTTATACCCCTTCAACTTATTTAATTATAAATTAATTTGTTTCTTTCTCGTGCTTCATCGTTTTCCTTTGTTCGCCGAAAGTTGTCAATTTCAAAGGTTTTTTGATTATTTTGTATCATTTAGGTAGTTATGAAATATTTTTTATAATAGAATTTTTTTAATCAATTATATTTTGCATCACTTACGACTTGCTTCAAAAGGGAGAACTCAAATATAAACAAATTACGGTCAAATGACTAATCATATTATTAAATATTCGTGTATTTTTGGGTAATTTTTATTATTATTCTTTTATTTGTTAATTTTATTACATTTGAACAGGCAACAATTTTTGGAGCCAGGGGAATCGATACTTATGATATCCATGGTGAAGAAACTGCAGAAACTGACAAACAAGAAAGTACAGCTCATCCTCACTAATAAACCCAAATTAATTTATCTCGACCCCTCGAAATTAGTGGTCAAGGGTAATATTATATGGTCCGACAACCCTAGCGATCTTAACATTCAAGTTACAAGCCCCTCAAATTTCAAGATTTGCACTGTGAGTCCCTCTCGCTTCCCTCATATTACGTTTTATGCCCTCCATTATTTCACCCTTTAATTTTATGTATCTTGCATTATTGATAGTTGCTTATTTATGTGATTAAACATTTTCTTGGAACAGCCGAAAAAAGTTATGTCGTTCGAGGACGCAAAACAAAGAGCAACGCAGTGGAAGAAGGCAATCGAGGCCCTTCAGAATCGGTAAAAAAATTGGTCTGTGATTTATATAACATTCTTTGGACATAACAAAAAGCGGTAGAACAAACTAAAATTCATTCAAGCTACATTAGTGGGCCCTCGCAGAATATCCTTTCGATTCGCCTCACAGATTTTTTACTATTGTTTATTTTTTTAATTTTAGAATTTCATTTTGACATCATTTTTATTTGTTTATAGCAGTGATTGATTACTCTATTTAGTTTATTATGATCATTGTCTTTTGATATTGGAAGTTTGTAAACTGAAAGGAAAAGTGTAAGAGAATTTGGTTTATTTAAATTAATCATTGCAGTTGTTTATGCCATTCTCTAATTGATCATAATTAGTCAGGTTGTCTTGTTTGTTGTAAAAATTCTTTGGAATTTAATTTGATCATTATATATGATGCGATCTGCAGCACGAAAATTTCAACTTCTTAACGTTTTCGCGTTTCGGACATGTTTTGTTATCGGACACTCGAGGATACCTGTCGGACACGTTTCATTATTAACATTGTTAGGAACTTAAAGGCGTGGAAGGGTATGAAAGGGTGAAAACTAGGGGTGGGAACGAGCCGAGCTCGGCTCTTTTGGCCAGCTCGAGCTCGAGTCCATGTTACCGAGCTTGAGCTCGACTCACTTAATTTTTTTTTATTTTTTTTTTAATTTTTTTTATTATTTAATTTTTTTATTAAAATCATTTAATTTTTTATTAAAAATTATTTATAGGAAAATAAAAAAAATTTAAAAATAAATAATGAACTCTAGTTATATATATATATTTTTAATTTTTCTATTATATTATAATATTTTATATTATTACAAATTATTTAAGTAATATAGATTTATTTCTATTTAAATACTATAAATATTTATTATTATAGACTATTTACTAGAAAAAAGAAGGCAGCTCGCGAGCCGGCTCGCGAGCTGTCGAACAACTAGATTTGGGCTCGAGCTCGAGCTCGTCCGAAGTTCGAGCCTTTGTCGAGCCGGCTCGGCTCGTTTACCACCCCTAGTGAAAACTGGAACGAAATTTTTAATTTCCGGTGCTCTCGATAAAAAAAAAAAAAAATCCAATTTTTGAACAATATTTGCAATCCAGTGAGAAATTCCAATTTTCAATTTTTTTGGATTACCATTAAAATATATATGAAATTCAATTCCGATCGGATTATAATTTCTGAAAATTATACTCATAATATTTAGTATCACTATATATTTTCATATGAATTTTTCAAATTCCCGACTCCCAATTTCTTTTTGAACGAAATAGGAATACAAAATTTCACTTTCGATTTGTTTTTTTTTTTGCAATTATTAATTTCGATCCGATCATTCCAATTTTCGCACCAGATGCTGAGTGTTGCATATCCTATATCTGAAGGGGCAAAACTGTAATTAACCCTGTAATTCCTCTGTAAAAACTAAACTTGCAAGAAAAAAGGAACCAATAAACAAATTAGTTATAGTAATTAATAATGTCAACAAAACACTGTCTTCTTCTTCTTCTTCTTCATCTTCTAGCCATTATTGTGTTAACTGTGTCGGCATTTCCATTGGAGAGAGAGAAATCTTTAGCGATAATAAGGGAGATTAACAGAAGAGGCCCTTATCTTGCTCTAATTACAGTTTTCCCCACTGAAGAATATGCTTTCTTTTCTTCCGATCCTTTCATTAACGACTCCAAATTTCCTTATGTCGATCTTTCAGGCAAGTTAAATTAATTCATTATTATTATTACACACACACACACACACACACTTGTTTTTGCTCAGATTATTGATATTATTATTACACACACTTGGTCTGACTTTTTTACAGGCAGGCGATTTCGAGTGGGGATGGTAGAGGACAAGAAAGTCATTTATGTGAGATGTGGGGTTGGAATGGTAATTTCTTATAACTTATACATTTTCCTGCCTTGCAAATTTGCAATACAATGCATTATTATCTTACTATTTTGGGCAAATCTTGTGGGGTTAAGTGTGTATTTTAACTAACTTTGGGGGAGGTTTATTGAAATTGTGACAAAGCTTGGACTTATTTAGCTAAAAAACTGAGTTAAAGGGGGGATTTTGCTAATTATTATAACATGGGGGAGTTCTCTAACAATTAGAGTTGATACACGGGTTGTTGGTGAGTACAAAATCTTATGAACACTAACTGCTGGGATTGCATGTACAGTTGAACCTCTATAAATTAATACAGCCGAGATTAGAGAAATTCTATTAATTTGGCGAATTATTAAATTATCGAGTTAACAATTTAACATATTTTCACCAAGCCGGGACCGAGATAAACTATGATTTAAGCGAGGTTATTAATTTTTCGAGGTTCTGCTGTATTACTATTAAGGGTAAATTACGTCCACCCCTTAGGTAAGGTCAAGTTACGAAAGCCCCCCTCATATTTGGGTAATTACAACCACCTTCCTCAACTATGTATTGTCTTACGAAAAAAGGCCTCCTTCAGTAGGTTAATTTGACACCGTAAGTGTAGACGTGTAAGATCATACATAGTTAACGTGGTGATTGTAATTACTCAAACAAGAGGGGTTCTTTTCATAATTTGACCTGACCTTAGGGGTTGGCCGTAAATTTACCCTATTATTAATAAGGGGTATGTAATTTTAGAAAGGTTGGAGGGTTTAATTGTACGAGGACCAAAAGTAAGAGGAGTGGTATGTAAATATGTGTAAAATAATGGAGTGGTATGTAATTATGTGTATTAGGTGAATGCTGCAAGTGCAACACAACAAATGGTGGATATATTCAACATAAAAGGAGTGATACACTTTGGAATATCTGGAAATACAAACAGTTCATTGTGCATTGGAGATGTTACCATTCCTAAGGAATTTGCCAACACTGGCTTGTGGGATTGGCTGGTAATTTCCAATTCTTTTTTTTCTTTCGATTTTGGGATTTACCGTTTGTTTTACAGAAATTCATTTGAAATTATTCTCTCGAAATCGGAATTCTTGATTTGGGAATTTGCTGTAGAAAATATTCATCCGAAAAAAGTTTTAATAATTTTCTTGATTTTGATTCGGACAGAAATCGAACGAGACAATCCCAGAAAACGACGTTGCGGTACTAAATATCGAAAACTATAATGTACCGAACGGAGGGTATAACTCGTTAGGGAGGATCGGGTATAGGGCGGAGCAGTTTTACTCGGAGGGAGGAGAGCCTAATTCTGCTCAACTTATGCTGTGGTTTCATGTCACCAACAATTGGCTTCAATTAGCTACCACACTCCAGGTTAGTTTTGTCATTTCTTCCCATTAGGAGACCATAAATTGGAACGGAACTTTAATCCATAAATTGAGTCCCGAATTTCTTAATGAACACAAAATTAGTAATCGTCTGAGAAAAATAGACTTGTCGTCCCTTCGGTGTACCTTGATTTTACATTTGGTCCTCTTCGTTAAAAAGAAAAACAGATTTAGTCCCTCATATTTCAAATTCTTAAACACTTTTGGTCATTCGGTCAATTTTCTGTTAGTACCTAACGGAATCAAGCATGTGCCATCACTGTCTTAACTGACGGATAAATGGTAAATTAACGGAAAATGAGAAACTAATTAATCTGTTTTTTTGTGCACAAGTGGACCAAATGTGAAATCGAGAGACGAAAAAATGTACTTTTCCCCATTATCGTATTTTATTGGAATAACATGTTAACATACATTCTTGTAATTTATTTAATATATTTTATTGTATTAAATTTCGACACCCTTGAATAAAAAAATTGTTCTTGTGGTTATTTATAGGGGATGAAATTGGAACGATGTGTGAACTCAAGCCTGTGCCTTGATACAGACCCGAAAGTTGTAATTGGGCTGAGAGGGTCAACGGCCAACACATTCGTCGACAATGCTTCTTACAGAAATTTCCTTTTCCTAAATTTCGGGGTTTCGTCTGCTGATATGGAGAGTTCTGCAGTACTAATGGCAAGTTCCTCTACCCATATCTTTTTTATTTATTTATTTATTTATTTATTTTAATTATATTTAAAATAATGTGTTGCTGAGTTTGAATTCCAAACATTATGAATCTTGAATTTCAGAAGTTTATTTATTTATTATCTATTATTTATTTGCATAGTTCTAAGGGTTAAATAATAACATCAATGTTTTGTTTATGAATGTTGTTTTGCAGACTAGTTTATCGAACGGGTACCCGGCGATTATTTTTCGCGGTTTATCTGACTTAGCCGGAGGGCAAAATGGTCATAACACCGTTAGATTGTTTGGGTCTCTTGCTGCTTCAAATGTTGCAAAAGTAGTCCTTCAATTCATCAAGTTGCTACCAAATGAGGATCATTTCCAGTTTTAGCCTTTGATATTTATTCCCTTCTTTATTTTATACGACATTGATTGAAGTACACCGAGTATATCATTAATTTTCGTTCACGCATGAATTACGCTGCGCAAATGAGAGTAGATATCAGTCCGAATTTCCTGCGAGCGTGCTTTCGATCGAGAGTTCAATAAGCGCGAACCACTATTCTACAAAAATAGTAAATCGAGGCTCGTCTTTTTGCCTGATGGAATTTTGTTTAAAATCATAAATACGAATATTCGCATACCGATGGAATTTTATAAAATAGTACATATGACTGTTCTCATGCCGATGGAATTTTATTTGAAATAATAAATACAAATTTTCTTCATATATAATTAGGGATGGAAATTGGAATAAAATTTCCAAATGACGCCAATTGCGATCCAAAAATATCTGAATTTGGTACTATATTTTCATTCTGATTTCTAAAGTTTCGATTTCCGATTTCTTTGATTTTGAAACGGAATCGGAATGGTATATAAAATTATCGGAAATTCCAATTTCCAATCCGATTTTAGTTCCGAATATTTTTATGGTTTTCCGAAATATATAATATAATTTTATGATATATTTTGTAATTTCATAATATGACTTATGTTATATTTTATTATGAAACATATAAATATCAAAGGGTAAAGTAATTAAAATCTTGGAAAATATTAATTGGTATCAGAAACTTTATGTTGCATTTTTCCTTATAAGAAAATATATGTTTCAATTTGTTATTCCTACATGTGTTTTTATTTATTGCGTTTTGTCGAACTTTCTTTTGGATTTTCTTCCATTTTCCTGCGAAATTTCAAAAAATATAGAAAAATATTGTGAAAATTCCTATTATATCCGATTTATTTAATTTTTTTTGGCCAAAATTGCACTTTTATTCTATGGAGGCACATGAGGCCTCGTTAAAAACCTTGTCGGTCTATAACAAGGAAAAAAGTACCCCTATTTACAACGATGACGAAAAGTATAGAGTCATAGATTTTCCATTAAAATTAAATGTTGAATCCTACTAGGAAGAACTAATACTACTGGAAAAATCTAAATTAGTTTTGTGCCTTAGAGACCAATTGGCCAAACCGTCTGCTACTTGATTTCCCTCTCAATAAATATGCTCTACGCGCTTATTCGCAGAGACGAACTTACGAATTCCATTGATCACGTAATGAAGTCCCCATGCAATCCCTATGTTTCCGTTTATCATATCAACCCGTATTTTCTCTTATCAATATCAAACTTGGCTTTTAAATTTCTTGGATCTAATATATGTAAGAAAAACATTAAATAATATTGAAATCCGTTTTTTCAGGCCCTGATTAAGTGAATATTTCGTTGTACCGATGTATCTCGCGAGTTTAACTACTATGAATATCACTACCAAAATTGTTTCCGTATTTTGCTCTCGAAAAACGCGCCCAATGGGAGCTACCCTTCATCACTTTCCACGCCAATTTGCCGACCAAAATATTTTGCATATCTCTTAGGGAGCGGAAACCGAGCCCATCTTCGGGTTTACGGAAGCAAAGCTGCTCCCATGTTATTACGTCCGAATTTGAAACAAGAGATTATAAACTAATGTAATTTCCTAAATTTCTCCAATTCCAAAATCGGAATGAATTTTCGCCATTCCAAGTTTTTTGAGACGAAAACTGAAACCCATTTTTTTACTTTCGAAAAAAATTAAAAAAATTTCGAAAAGTCATTTCCAATCCATTTCCAATTCATATAATGGTTTGTGGGTTAACCAACTTTTCCTAAAGGTAATAAAAATTGTATTGGTCCAAGATTTTTGTAACCACATATAATTTTGAACCAAAGTCAAAGTTTTATCATTAATGTGAAATTAATGCATTTAAATTGAATTCTTAAAAGTTTTCTTGTAATCCTGCGATAACATATGCAATTCCATTCTCAATTACATATTATAAAAAAAGAAAAAAGTTGAAAATAAATATATAAATAAGCACTATTGTCTATTACTCTATTATCAACCAAAAAACTATATAAATTAAAATAAAATAATAAATATATATATATATTATGGGCATTTTCCGGCGACTTCCGCTCTACATCACCCTCGCCGCCGTGGTCTTCACTTTCCTACCTTCCCCACCATTCCCCTCAGCCGCCGCCGCCGCCGACGGAAAGTTAAACCTAGCCACCCAAGTCTGCAAAAACACCCCAAACCCCAACTTCTGCCGCGCCGTCGTCTTCTCCGACCCACGCGCCGCCGACGCCGACCGCGTCGTCCTCGCCTACATAGTATTCGGCCAAACCTATGTCAACACCACCAGTACCCAAACATACATCGCCTCAAAAATAAAATCAATTGAAGCCTCCGGCGGCGGAGAATCCGGCGAATTGAAAGGTCTGAGAAAATGTAGGGCTTACTACGAGGAGGCGAATCGGACACTTATCCACGATATGCTGCAAAATTTGGATTCGGAAAGCTATTACGGGTTCGATAAAGCCTCCGTTAACGTCGAAGATCAAGCACGCGCCTGCCGGAAGGATCTCGGCGGCGCGTCGCCGATGACGGAGAAGAACGATGACTTGATTGAACTTGCTAAGATTTGTTATGCCGTTTCTCTGCTCTTTCCGTATGGTGGTTGAGTTTTTTTTCCTTTCTAATTTTAGTTTGGGGACAAAATTGTATGTGTATGTTAAAAATGAATATTTATTTTAATCAATAAATTTAGTTATGATAAAGTTTAAATACTTTACTAATAAATTATTATTTTTTATAATTTAATAAATCAGGACCCATTTTGAGAGAGGAACAAATTTCCCCAAGGATGCGCATATTTGCAATGTCAAAATTTCTAAGGGCAAGACCTTACTTCATGCAAGAAAAAAATATAAATAAATTTACTAAGAGCAAGACTGAAAATTACAAATATAACCCCAATATTAATTATGATATTACTAATTAAAAAAAGTGAAAAGGCCTAATTGCTATTGCAAGACCAAAAAAGAAAAAAAAGAGAGAAATTGAAAAACGAGAAGGAATGTTCTAGCGGGATAAGAGAAGAACACAAGGCGAGAAGAATTGCCGCCGCCCAACTGTCGGTGCTTGAAGAGGAAGAGAAGAAGAAGATGGAGAAAGGAGGAAGCTGGAGGAGAAGGAGGAGGAGAAGAAGAAGAGCATGAAGAAGAAAAAGATGAGGAAGAGGAAGAAGAAGAAGAAGAACAAAAGAAGAAGAAGAAGAAGACGATGAAGAACAAGAAGTTGAAAAATAAGAACAAAAAGAAGAAAATTCAACCCGTACATGTTGATTTTTTGTTGAAAAATCGACATTTACATGTTGATTTTTTGGCAAAAAATCTAGATGTTAATTTTTTGGCGAAAATTCGACATATACATGTCGATTTTTGTCACAAAATTGACATGTAAATGTTGATTCTTCGCCAAAAATCGACATTTAGAGTTGATGTCTTTTTTTTTTTGCTAAAAAATCAACGTCTAAATGTCGAATTTTGTAACAAAAATCGACATTGTATATGTCGAATTTTGACTGCGCGAGTTTTTTTTTTTTGAAAACTTAAAAAATCGATCACCTAACTATAAAATAAATTCATTCATAGTTTGTTTTCTGCTTTTTCTATAGAATTCTCCATATTCGTGACTCCATAATGTTATCCATTTGCATGTTTTAGTAACATTAGAGGGTTTTGGGTGTTGAGGATTTTTGGAGAAGAGGATGAATTATTTTTGAAGAATTTGTGTGAAATGGGTTTGTGAGGAAGATAAAATGGGTTTTGCTGGTGTGGTCTTGCACAAAGAAAGTTGTGGAATTTTGCAATTGTGGTTTTTGTATTTTAGTAAGGGTATAATATTCTTTTAGTAATTCATTTGGTGAAAATTTAGATTTGGTCTTCCCTAAGCAATTTTTACGATTGCATATAGTCGCCGCACTTCCCCAATTTAAGTATATTTTAATTTGATGAGTCGTCTAGAGTTAAACATCTATAAATTAATTCAGTCGGGACTAACAAAATTTTATTAATGAGTGGAATGTTAAATTATCGAATTAATAGTTTATTACATTTTTACGTAATCGAGATTGGGATAAATTATTATTTAAATAAGCTTATTAATTTATCGAATATTAATTTAAGTGGAACTCATTTTACAAAGACGATAAAAGAGAATTGCTACTCGCAGGCCACAGCAGCATAGTACCAGCCTACCAGGTCCCAACGGGATTTTTGTTATTATTTTCAAATCCTTCAAAAAATTCCAAATTCTCTTTACTTTGAAATTTCGTAAATCGTGAAAGACGATTCGATATTGTTAGGATTCCATATTTTCAGGTAGAAATTCGGTTTTCGTATTTCTTTTTCGCAAACTTTTTTTAAACTCAAAAGTTTTATGTTCTACAACACAAAACTAAAAAAAACAGTATCGTGCTCTACAACATGAAAATATGTTTCGTGTTGTACAACACTAAATCTCAGCACAAACTTCGTGCTCTAAAGCACTAAACCCCGCTATGTTTTTTTTCCAAACTCCAAATCCCTAAAACCTAATGTTAAACAACGATTTGTTACCTAAATCGTACATAAATTGATAAGCATTACCATAAATCGCGAGTTGTAAGTGCCAGATTGAATGCCTAAGAGTTTAAATTGATTTTGAATGTTTGAGAGAGTGTTTCAATTTTTGAGAGAGTTTTGAAGTTTAAAATTTTAAAATTATTGAAATCCCGCTACAATTAGTAAAAACCCCATTACAATTAGCATTTCAGGAGAAAATGTACATGAGGCAAGTGGAGTCCATATTTGGGGAGGATTTTAGAAAAATGTGACAGGAATTCCAGTTTTTTTCGTTATTTCAAGAGTTTCCGAATTTAGAACGGATTTTTAGATTCTTTTTTGAATCAGAATAGGACATCGATGTCCGTATTCGGAAATAAATCATATTTTCCTAAAAGGCTAATTCTGATTCGTTACAATTTGATTTCCACCCCTAATCCAAAAGAAAGGAGGCTACATATACCATAGAAACTCTATAGATTATGTTACTTAGTATCTATAATAGACACAATGTTCATTCATACAAAGATATGGACACTTAAAAGAATTTAGTATTAAAAAAAAAAAAAAAAAAAAAAAAGAGAGAGAGAAAAAGAGTGCAATTGAATTAATCAAACGAGGTAACGGCGAGAGCTACCCTAAGATCATTTGAAGTTCCACACACATACATTCTATATGTTTCTACATCTTGTCGACTAAGCTTAGGATTAGTAGAAGCGTAGTAGCTTTCACTAACACGGTCGTTTTTAGAAAACACAATCTCCCTTAAGATTGGTTCGTGCCCGTTAAGAAGATTCCCCATGCTCAAAACTTTCCTCCATGACTGGTTCGCGGTTGGTGGAGTGAACATGCCTACAATCACGTTTCTGTCGCGCGAACTTACCCTTTGCTTTTTGTCAAATTCCTGGCGCAGATAAACAATAAAATCATTTTTTTATTGTGACAGAAGAAAAGTCAATAATTGAGTTAAGGATACTACTCATTTTCGATCCTGATTTAAACATGGGAGGTGTTAAATGTCGTTTTGCTATTTTGATTCAAATGTAATTTTGACCCTTTTTCAGTCTGAATTGGCGAAATTCAGACACAAACATTGTAGTTCTTTGAGTTGGCTTTCTAATCCAACTTGAATCAGATAGATTGGATGTGGGTGAGAGAGTTATGAATGAATGAGATACCAAATCGGGAAAAAACTCAAAACATCGAAGTTGTAGCCAATGTTCATTCATTCATGCATAACTCTCTCACCCGACATTAAATGTGGATTAGAAAGCCAACTCAAAGAACTAAAAATTTTGTGTTTCGACTTTTGCCAAATTCAGACTGAAAATTGGTCGAAATTACATTTAAAGTCGGAACAGTACCAGTAAAATTGAACGACATTTAGCATTTCAATATCGTGATTTACCAAAAATAGGTTGAAAAAATGAAAAGCCATATTAGTCCTGAAATGGGAGTTGAAATTCAATGAATACATAAAAGGAGAAATTTCGAAAGAGAATTGGAAACAATGGAAGCTTACTTTCTTGGTATTATTATCGCCAAGCCCAGAGCCTGTTCCCATATTTGGGAGGTAGTAGTCATAGCAATCACTGAAAATTGCTTGTCCGAGATGTGGCGATTGCAAGAATTTGCGGTGAAGAGATGCCGCTAGTAGAATCAGCTTCTCAATGTGTTCAAAAGTAGTGCATAGTCGTCTGAGGTCATCAATGACATCACTATCGCTCGTCATATTATGCGCTGTAATAGAAAATGAAAATGAGTTGGTGAATTCGTGAAGGCCCTTTAAGTCCGACAAATGAACTACGGAAAATATGAAAAAAAAAGGTATCAAAAGGACATTACATTGCAAATACTTTAACATAGATGCCATAGTGGCATATAATTGTCTCGTTTTTGTGGTTATCTGCTTTAGTTGACCAACTGGAGTCTGATTAAGAGTGTCGGCCGCTGCTCTGAAGGCAGTACAAACCATTTGTTCCAGTAGTTGTTGCGGTTTCAGAGTTTCCAGATAATGAAGAACCTTAATCAAAACAACATTACGTATCACAAATGACTGAAGATATATACTTACTAAATAACTTAAAGGTACAATACGCAGACTACATGGCTTGAAGTTGTAGGACGAAATCCGAAAACCCGAAAATGGAGGATTGAACAAAAGTAACTTCATGGTTTATAATGAAACTAAACGTAAAATCCAAATAACTTCCATATACTTCATGTGTCTCTGGAAGAGAAAATTTTAATGCATATAAACCTAGTAGAATATTATTAGTCTTAATATGTAAGCAGATTGATTGCCGTGCCTTGGAGCTGGGTTCTATTCCAAACGATTTTTGTCCGATATGATGTTATTGTTAAACTTGTTTACTCATTTATAGACTTGTAGATAAATGATAAAGTGGCAATAATTATGTCAAAAAACTAAAATACCTTTTCGCCTTCTCTATTTGGATCGAGGAGTGGTTTTTGTTCAGAAACGGGTAAAGGCGGAGCTTCGTTCCAAATCTTTCTCCATGAGTTACCATTACCAGACATTCTCTCAGAAAGTCTTCCACGAGGAGGCCACTTCACTTCCGACACTTCTTCCATTGGATTGGTTTGAGACACTCCAATTTCATGGCTGTCGTCGTTTTCCCAATCCCTTGGTGAATGCCATCGGATAAAATCTTCAAACACCGCATCTTGATTAGCTGCCTTGAACGCAGACATGTCTGCGGTAAGGTCAGATAAAAAAAATTCATGGTAAGAATACTTCATTAATGGCTAAAACTCCTGCTTCACGAACCAAAAAAAAAAAGAATAGTAGAATTTGCATCTAGCATGTGTGTTTTACTTATTAGACTAAAACAAACCGATAGAGTCTGAAAAGAGTAAGTCAAGGAACCAGTTAGAGGCCCTTGACTTTAGGCTCGAGAAAAAAATCTAAGTCTTCATTTTACTATTTGTCTTTTGTACAGTTGTACAAGGAAAGATAAGAGTCATCTGGACAATAAAGCAGGTTACTGTATATAATCAGTATGATATTAATTAGAATCTTGGCGAGTCATACTTCGCTTAATGCATCTATATTGTTGCCCACTTAGCTTTCGAATTGGACGATAGAGGAGGCTACTGTATGTGTTTATTATATAACAATTACTCCAAGCGGAACCTCGACATTAGAAAATGAAAGGCAAAATATATGCAGCATTAAAACATCCAAAATAGAGATAGTTGAATTTCTAATAATTCTCAAGTGACGGTACTTTTGAAAATCTTTCGACTATCCCAGTTCGTCACAAAAGGTACCATTTTATTATTCTGAAGGAGGATACATGGGTTAACTTTTAGAACAGAAAAGAGCTGCCTAAGGCATGGTAAATGACAGTTAATTACCAGATGCTAGAATATCCTTTTCAAGTTGAGCAGAGAAGCTCTGCATTGAAACGCACAAAAACTATTGTTAGTATCCCATGTTATATGTCCAAACAGCAAGATTTCACAAGCTATATCTAATACTAAAACTAAAATGAAAACAGATCAAGAGGATTTTCGTTAAAGACAGCATTTGCCATTAAGGAGAAGATTCATAGTTTCCGCAAGTTAAGATAATCGTGTTTAGAGAACGAAAAGATCATATATAATACAGTTTTTAAGCTTACAAATGAATCACCCAAGGCTTCAGCAGCTTTAAGTCGTTCTTCATGCATGTCTTCTGTCATGGGAGGTGGGTCCTACAATAAAACTTAGGATGCATTTATTGTTTGCACTGATGTTTGAGACTAGGTCGCAGATAGAGAATTAAATACCTGGGTCATTGGAAAATGCATTGTCTTGCATGATTTCAATAGCATCATTGACTCTGCTACACCAGCTGAATCATTCCTGAAATTTTGGAATCAAACCAAAAAATTGAGATTCGTGTCTTTTAAAACTAAATGAACCGAGAATCAGACAGACAAGAATCTGCAGTTGAGTGTATCATTGTTGCCATATGACAAACTATTTTCTACTGTCTTGAACCATCAAACTGCTAATAAAATTATTTGAGAAGAGAACATTTCAAATTTGAGTTATTGCAACTTATCAAAATTAATAAAAAAAATTATTGAGTATCTTAACCACCAGCCTTACTTTGAGCGACTTCTCAAATATAGATAGATATACACACATTAATAGAGGAGTTTTCTACTGGTGACTATAAAGAAACACCAAGAGTTCCAACTTCGTTCAAGACACTAAACTGTATAATCAGCAGTAATAATTCTACGCCGTACTACATTTCATATTTTAGCTGAAATTGGGAAAAGCGGAAAAAAAATACATCTTAAAGTAAAATGCAATTCCCGAGGACTAGCATAGTAGCAAACATACCTTTCATTTTTCCTGCCAAAACCTTTACTAACTTCATGAGAAGCCGAGAAGTTCATCGGAGTCTGAAGATTTTCCTGGGTCAGATGCAAACTCAAATCGGTCAACAATAATGGCAGAGAAGAATCAAATGAAACAGAATCAACAGATACTACCAGCACTTGAGTACTCACAGAATCACTAGTGCCAATATTTTGCCCCTCGGCCTCTCGACGCTTTTTATCAATGCACACAGCAAGCTGAAAACCAGAAAGTGAATAAGGGTGTCTTTTCTTCCTTTGGGCATTCCACACATGCATTTAATATATTTTGACCTCGGCTATACATATAGAAAACCAACCATGTGTAGTTTCTGATTAATCAAACAGGTGGATAGGTCGATAGTGCCATTTGCTGGCATTCTTGGTAATGACTGCGATTCTTCCCAACACCATCGAACCTCCCGCACAAACTCTATCCAGAGCACGGCAATAGCTAATTAAAGGAAAAAAATAAGATAGAGCAGTAAGAAAAGTGTAAAATGACAATTGAACAAAAAATATAGGCGTGTGTGGTATAGTTAAATAAACTACTGCAAATAGTATGTTATAACTAGAAATACCCCGCATACTGCAATTGCCAAACCAAAGAGCATGTAAACAGAACTGTGCAAAGAGTGATTCCGGTTGAGCGCCTTTAATAGATCGAGAACTTTCATGCTCGACCTGAGAGAAATCAGCTTGTGCTTCCGTAACTGCACATGAGAAAAGAAAATCAATTAATACAACAAATTCAAATTCTCTGCAACAAAAACCGTAACTGCACATGAGATAAGGAAATCAACTAAAGCAACAAATTCAAATCATCTGCAACAATCATCAGTTATCTCAGCTTTGAGAGGTAATAGCAATCATTAACTTCACTAATACAAAAAGGTTCAGGTTGTTTCTCATTTGAGAATTGAATAATGAAGTTGCACTTTGAAGAAGACAAGATTTTGTACCTTCATGAAAAAGATCTTTCAGCACACGATCAAGAACGGTTGGTGGAGGTACAACTGCTGAAGAGTTCAAATTTTCAGAACCTGCATTTTCAACTGCTAAATTAGAAGAAACAAGGTAAAAAAATCATCACGAAATCAATAATAATCAATTTTTTGCACTCAGAAATATAACATTCGCCAATAATAATTCACACTTGATACATCAGATTATGCATCATAAAAATTCAAACCTGATACAAAATCTTCAATAAATTTAGCCTCCGACGACATTTCAAATGCCTTAATCAAAAGGCGGAGCTGGGATGCAAATCCGATAGTGCTTCCATCACAAATACCAACGCTGCACATTGATAAGTACACATCACTCGTCTTTCTTCAACAAGGATTTAAATAAACATTTGAAAACCCAAAATCTCAAAAAAAAAAAAAAAAAAAAAAAGAATCTACAGATTGAGAAAGCATGATATTAATAACCACTTTTCGCTTCCAGTGTGAGCGTTTTCCAAATCAGCCATATCCAGAAGAACTTTCGGCTGTATCTCAGACCATATAGCAAGCAACTCAAATCCTGCATGAGGTAATATAAAAAATTATGGTATAATAATAATCATAATACTCAGGCAATCAGTGAAAAGAGGCTTTACCCATTACCGCCCGTACAACCAAAGCATATTTACGATGTATATATGAGCAGCAGTATTTCACCTTTGATTGGGTCCTCGGCAGAGTACCACTTACTCCAAGGAGAATCATCATCCCATTGCGATTTTCCGTGAGTCCCACTTTCAAGATTTTCGCTGGATCCTGTGATGTCAGCATCGGGTTCTTGAATTTCATCCTCATCATCATAGACAGGGGTTCTGTAGGTTAACTTCATCTTAAAATGGACTTCGAAATGATGCATTGACCAGTCCACCGTAGTATAGGCCTTGCGCATAAATTTGAAAAATGGACTAGTATATTAGTAAATAATGTACTAGATAATCGAATAATGAATCGACAACAAGAGGATAAGAATAGATCAACATCAATCAATGCAACGGGACATGCAGATACATCCAGTGCTATGTACAAGCTTGAGACAAAGTACAATGCTTATGCACAGAATTGTAAATCCGTCGAAATCATCAGCAGTTCAAGTGGAAAACTATTGATTGGAGAACAAAATTTGCAGACCTAAACCATTTCTATGATGAAAAATGCTAACATACCCATTTGGACACAAATATTATAATCAAATGTTAAATCCATATATACAATTTTAAATTCGGGTAATGCCAATCAAAAAAGTAAATACGTAGAGGACGTCCATAGACAAATAACATAGTAGCTTTACATGGCTTCCCAATATTAAAGCCTCAGAAGACGAAATGATTACCAATTACGACAATCAAGAAATAATCATATATATATATATATATATACACACACACACACACACACACACACACACACAGAAATAAGAGAGCTTACAAACTTAGAAACAAAGAGCTCGTATAACCCTTCCAAATGCATAAGTTTTATTGGGACCTGGCTACCAATGCGATCAGCTTCAAATCTTCTAGTAAAAACTGTTCCCATATTTTGAATCCCAATATATGCTTTACGGGAGGGGTCATGAACTGGAACAAATGCAGGCCACAGGCTGCAAAGAACAAGGACCAAAGATATCAACTGCTATATGGATTGAAGTTCTCAGTGAAAGAACGACAAAGCACCATATGATAACGCATAATAACCTATTATCAATCAATAGAAGACAAAAGCAAAATGAAGATAATTGAAAAATCCTAGCAGAACAATCAATTTTTGACCCTCTGCAGTTATGGTCTTACAGCTATAACAATTTCAATTTAAAAAAAATATAATCATATTGGAAAAGTATGGGAGAAACCAGCGAATCTACATAATAGCAGCCAAACCATGAACAGTTGGACAAAGCAATGGCAACTGCACTCAAAAGTTTGCTTGCCTCTGGTGCATCAAGAACCACACCACTTGCACTTTTCAGCGTAC